TTAGATGAATGAGGAAACAAAATTCCAGTCGTGAAGAAACATGATGCTGAAAGGCCATGAAATATGAGAATGGTGTTAAAGGAGACAGAGTTGTGTAACTAGAGAGTAAGTGTACAGAATAGGGAAGAAGTGGTGGGGGGCTGGGCTGTGAGAGGCTGTGGGGTCACATGAGCCATGGACCATTGTAGGGCTTTTTATCCAGAGGAGTTACAGGGTCAGAAAGAGGGAGCAGTGACTCACTGTGAAAGAAGGAAGAAAGCCTCTCTCTGAGCACCTGGTCCTCTGATGTGCAGAAGGAGGCTCAAGTGTTGGAGATCAGGTGCCAATGGGACTGCCACATGCCTTTGGGAAGAATGGAGGGCTGTCTCTATTGCAAAAAGAATCTCTGAGACTCCCTGCAGCATTCTCCTGGGCTAGTTCTGGGAGAGATGAAGATAAATACGATGATATGTGACATAGTAGATTTCCAAATGTTAGTTTTAAAACTAAACAAAGTAGTAGGAAATTTAGTTAAATATATATTTTTTTTTATTGTAAGTATTGTAGGAATTCAGATTTAGAAGATGACCATTGAAAGCTAGAGTGGTCAGTGATGGGGAAGTAAGTCTTGAGCTATCCTTGAACATTGAAGACAACATAGATGGGCAGTTGGTAACAGGAGTCCCTCCAAGCAAGGGAAGCAAGCTGGAAGAAGATGCGGAAGCAGTGGGCAGGGTCTGGGTTGGAGGGGAGGAGAGAGGCAGTGAAGCTGAGGACAGGGGCTGGGCAAAAGAGTAGAAGTCCTTTGATTAGATTTATTTTTTTAAGAGATGGAGTCTTGCTATATTTCCCAGGCTGATCTTGAACTCCTGGCCTCAAGTGATCCTCCCACCTCAGCCTCCCAAAGTCCTCGGATTACAGGCATGAGCCACTGCACCCAGCCACAATGTAGAAGTCCTTGAAGGACAGATGCTTACCTCTGTCATTAGGAAAACACTATTGATATAATGAAAGTAACTCAGCAAGATTAGGTGATTTTGAAAGATACAACGCATTGTTATTTATTGTAGTCACCATCCTGTGCAATAGATCACTAAAGCTTATTCCTCCTGTCTAACTGAAATTTTGTACCCTTTGATAAAAATCTCTTCTTTCCCCATTCATCCCCTTCCCCAGCCTCTGATAACCACCATTCTACTCTCTAATTCTGTGACTTTGACTTTTTTAGATTTAACATATGTAAGCATACTTGGAAGATACTGCAGGTTCAGGTCTAGACCACTGCAATAAAGCAAATATCGTAATAAAATGAATCCCACAATTTTTTTTGTTTCCTGGTGCACATAAAAGTTATGTTTACACTATTCTGTAACCTATTAATTATGCAATAGCATGTCTAAAAATGTATATACCTTAATTTAAAAATGCTTTATTGCTAAAAAGTGCTAGTGATCACCTGAGCTTTTGGTGAGTCATGATCTTTTTTCCAATGGAGGGTCTTGCCTTGATGATGATGGCTGCTGACTGATCAGGGTAGTGGCTGCTAAATGTTGGTGTGGCTGTGGCCATTTTAAAAAATAAACTGATTTTATTTTATAAACATTTTATAAGGTTTTTTAAATAAAATAAAAATTTTATTTTATGAAAATAAATTTAAAAAAGAAAGTGAAGTTTGCCACATTGACAGACTCTTCCTGTGATTTCTCTGTAGCTTCTGATGCAGTTTCAAAGCATTTTACCCATAGTAGAACATCTTTTGAAATTGGAGTCAATCTTCTCAAACTCTGCCACTGTTTTATCCATTAAGTTTATGTACTAAATCCATTGTAATTTCAGCAGTGTTCACAGCATCTTCACTAGGACTAGATTCCCTCTCAAGAAATCCCTTCTTTGAAGTAACTTCTCATGCATTCATGTTTTATCATGAGATTGCAACAATTCAGTCAAAACTTAAGGTTCCACTAGATTCTAATTCTAGTTCTCTTGCTATTTCCATCACATCTGCAGTTATTCTTCCACTGAAGTCTTGAATCCTTCAAAGTCATCCATGAGGGTTGGAATCAAATCTTCCAAATTTTTCTTAATGTTGCTAATTTGACCTCCTCCTCATAAATCTTCTTAATGGCATCTAGAATGGTGAATTCTTTCCATAAGGTTTTCAATTTACTTTGCCCTGATTCATCAGAGGAATCACGATCTAGGCAATAATAGCCTTATAAAATGTATTTCTTAAATAACAAAGACTTGAATGTCAAAATGACTCCTTGGGCCATGGGCTGCAGAATGGACATTGTGTTAGCAGCACGAAAACAACATTAATCTTGTACATCTCCATTGGAGCTCTTGGGTGACTAGATGCATTGTCAGTGAGCAGTAATATTTTGGAATCAATTTTTTTTTTTTGAGCAGTAGGTCTCAACAGTGGGCTTAAAATATTCAGTAAACCATGCTGTAAATAGATGTGCTGCCATACAGGCTTTGTTGTTTCATTTATAGAGCACAGTCAGAGTACATTTAGCATAATTCTTAAAGGCTGTAGGATTTGCAGAATAGTAAATAAGACTTGGCTTCAACTTAAAGAAACCAGCTGCATTAATCCCTAATGAGAGTCAGCCTGTCCTTTGACGCTTTGAAGACAGGAGTTGACTTTTCCTCTCTAGCTGTGAAAGTCCTAGCTGGGATCGTCTTTGGATATAGGCTGTTTCTTCTGCATTGAATATCTCCATGTTATCAATAACTTTGTTTCACTTACTTATTGTTTGTGTGTTCACCAGCGTAGTACTTTTAATTTCTTCCAGTAACTTTTCCTTTGCATTCATAACTTGGCTAACTGGTGCAAGAGGCATAGGTTTTGGCTTAGCCTTCTACATGCCTTCCTCACTAAGCTTAATCATTTCTAGCTTTTGATTTAAAGTGAGAAACTTACAACTCTTCCTTTCACTTGAACACTTAGAGGCCATTGTAGGGTTATTAACTGGTGTAATTTTAATATTGCTGTGTCTTAGGAAATAAAGAGGCCAGAGGAGAGGGAGAGAGATGGGGGAAAGCCAGTCAGCAGAGCAGTCAGAAAATACACAACATTTATTGATTTAAGTTTGCCATCTTATATGGATGTGCCTTGTGGCACTCCGAAACAATTAAAATAGTAACATCAGAGATCACAGAGTTCGGGATCAGCCTGAGCAACATAGCAGAACATGTCTCTACAAAAAAAAACACACAAAAATTAGCTGGGTGTGTTGGTGTGTCTGCCCGTACTCAGCACTACTCGGGAGGCTGAAGTGGGAGGATGAGCCGAGATCCTGCCACGATACTCCAGCTTGGGTGACAGAGCCAGACCGCATCTCAAAAAGAAAAAAAAAATCACAAATCATAGATCACCTTGACAAATTTAATAATGGAAAAGTTTGAAATATGATGAGAATTACCAAATTTTACGCAGAAACATGAATGAGCATATGCTGTTGGGAGAATGGCACTGATAGACTTGCTCCGTGCAGTTACTATAAACCTTCAATTTGTAAAAAATGCAATTATCTATAAACAGCAATAAAATAATGTGTGCCTATGTTGCTAAAAGGTTGACTTTACATATTTTCGCCACATAAAAATGAAAGTATGGGCCAGGCGCGGTGGCTCATGCCTACAATCCCAGTACTTTGGGAGGCTGAGGCGGGTGAATCACGAGGTCAAGAGATCGAGACCATCCTGGCCAACATGGTTAAACCCCGTCTCTACTAAAAATACAAAAATTAGCTTGGCATGGTGGCACGCACCTATAGTCCCAGCTATCCAGGAGGCTGAGGCAGGAGAATTGCTTGAACGCGGGAGGCGGAGGATGCAGTGAGCCGAGATCGCGCCACTGTACTCCAGCCTGGCGCCTGGTGACAAAGCAAGACTCTGTGTCAACAAAAACAGAAAGAAAGTATGTGAGCTGATGGATTTTGTTTACATTAGTTAATCATATATCAAATGTAACATATCAAAACATCACATTGTACTCCATAAATATATAAAATACACAATTATTTGTCAGTTAAAAATAAAATATTTAAATGTAACTAAAAAGAAATAAATTTTTCCAAAAAGGTTAATTAGGTGGCTATGGATGGATGGACTGTGCAGATACAAGGGAACAGTCTGTCAGGCTTTTGCCTGCATTAATAAGGTTTATGCGCTACAATAAGATCATGAAAGGACCATTGGGAGGGACTTTTCTTCTAGCCAGTGATCAACAGGGCTTGGTGTGGGGATGGTGGAGCCACAGGTTTGAGGTTTGGGGCCTAGGAGAACTGTGGTAACATTGAGAGACATAGTAGATTGGGAAGAGAAGCTGGTCTATGGGATTAGAAGAGAAGACTTGTTTTTAAAATTTAAATCATCGCATCTGACGCCATGAGTGTCAGAGCTTTATGGACAGTTGGAGCTATGAGACCTGTGGCCACTAGTGAGGTTTTGAAATCAATACAGCACAGTTGGGGCAGGAGCCAGATTGCAAGGAATAATGGAAGATGATGAACAAGCCACGTTTTCTTAGATGGTAGCTTTTTCCATGAATTGCATGAAGGAGGAGAAATCTGTAGTAGGTACAGAGATATTAAGTAGAATCCTTAAGCTGGGATAGGGCATAGAAACCTCCAGATTAACTCCTTATAAATTTGTTCGCACATATGGCCACCGATATATTTCTTTCATCCGTCTCTTCATTCATTCACCACGTATCTGCATGCCCAGCATTCTGGCCACTTCTCCCCTTTGCTTCAGTGTGAGCAGCCCCTTAGCAGTCCTTACCAGGGTAGCAATAACAGGACTTGGCCTAAGGACATCTGGAATAATAAGTCACTGTCTTTTCTTCCCTTAATTTTAGCTAATGTTTCTTTCCTTCCTTCCCATGGGAAGGTTGTAGGCCTAGTTGTCAGTGATTCCAGCCGTGTGTTCTAAGTGCTGCTAGATGTTAATGCTGTGAGTTTCAAGAACCATTTTTAAACAATGTGTTTGTTGGTTTTTTGTGGTCATAACAGGTAGAGTGGAAGCCCCAGCTATTAGAGGTCCCACCCCAAACTCAGTTTGATTACACAGTCACCAATCTAATTGGCGGTCCGAAACCACCTTCTCCTTACGACTCTCAATACCGTGAGACCATCCTGAAGGTGAGCAGTGCTTCCTTGCTCTGGGGAGCCCCACTGCAAAGCTTGGGTGGTTTTCTCTGGGCTGAGTTCAGCTGGCGGTCAGGTGTTTTCATTCTTCCTTCTCTTTCTTCCCTACTTCAGGGGGGCATGTTTGCTGGGCAGCTGACCAAGGTGGGCATGCAGCAGATGTTTACCTTGGGAGAGAGACTGAGGAAGAACTATGTAGAAGACATTCCATTTCTTTCACCGACCTTCAACCCACAGGAGGTCTTGTGAGTGATGTTGCACTTGATTTAAGGTCTTGAGCATGAGGATACCTGTCCTGACACCCCAAGATGGTTCCCACTCTCACCCAAGGTAGTCTGGGGGACAACTTGTCATGATGCAGTTACCCTTATGTCACGGATCCTGTGAATGGGTGGTTCCTGGAGGTCACATTCATTGGCCTTCGAGTCTCTTAGGGGCAGACATCCCACAGAGAAGTAAAGCATTCTTCCTAGCCCCATAGCTCTCCTATGTACTCTTGAAAGACACCTGGAGCCTCTGTGGAATAAAGTGTATATATTTAAATATTCCTTTTATGAGTGTCACTATCTTTTAATTTTTTTCAGTATTCGTTCCACTAACATATTTCGGAATCTGGAATCCACCCGTTGTTTGCTAGCTGGGCTTTTCCAATGTCAGAAAGAAGGTTCGTATCTGAGGTCCCAAACTCAGTCTCTGTCCTGAGGGGCTCTTGCTTCTCACTTTCAAAGCCCCTGTCTCTTTCTTGGTTCCTGTTCCATTGATTTTCTTTTTCTCCTGCGTGTGTGACTTCCAGTGTGTGCCTAGTCCAGTGGGTCCTTCCCTGTCTGGCCTTATGCTCCCCCTGCTAGCCTGCCCTCAACAGCCCCAGCAGCGTTACCAGCTGCTCTGATCTGCCTCTGGCTCCTGGCTTCTCCCGTCAAGCTTCTACACAAGCTGCACAAGGCAGTCCTAACCATGTTTTAGGAACAATCGAGGGGGCTTTTTGTTTAGGTGAGACACTGCTGAAAAGGGAGGACACTGAGCTGGGACCCAATACTGCCACCACTGTCCTAATCTTGGTGACCATGCATAACATAAACAGCCCTTCCTAGCTGAGAAAGTCCATCGAGTTTGGGTTTCCACACACTCAGCCCCTGAATGGTTGCAGTCAGTGTTCCCAACCTTTTCATCCCCAGGGACTGCGTTGATTATTTCCCCTTGTGCATCTCCTGTGTGGAGGGCCTTTGGTCATCACATGAAGCTGCATTGGTTCAAATTTACATTTAATCTCTGGTCTGAATTTCAGATCATCATGACCTCACTAAAAAGGTGCCATAAAGCAAAGGTTCTTGTTACTTTGCTTAGCTTTTTGGCAGTATCTCAAATAGAAACCAAATTTCCATCACACTTTTTAAGAAATATGTAGAAGAGCAGAACCTTCAGGAAGGGGAGTCTGGTTTCGCCCCAGCTGGGTGGGATGCTGCTGCTAATTCTGGCTGCAGTTGGCTGCCGCACACCGACAGTGTGTGTCTAGGTAACAAGGCAGGATGGCTTCCCTCTTACTTCTTGGGAGGCCTTGAATGATCCACAGCACCCGATCTTCTGAAAGCTCTCAGTTGCTCAGCTTCTAAAAGACAAGATCTTTCAGACACATCGGAAGTGCTACTGAGAAGGAAAGATGTTTCTTGGTGGCAACATTCTCTTTAGCAGGTCCCAGACTGAGAATACCCCAGGTTTCTGGCAGGGAAGGAAATCTCTAGCGTCAGGCATGGCTGTCTGGGGAGCAGCTCCCTGCACTGCACCCATAGGTGTTGGGACTCCAGTTTGGCTTTATTCCTAGCGACTTCCATGCCTTTCCTATAGGAAGGAACTTGAATAAGGAATCCCAGAAGGTGCCGCTGTTAATGGAAGTGGTGCAGCTGTGGGATATTGCTTTAGGGGTAAAATCCTAGAAAAATCCCAGAAGTTACATATGAGCTAGAGCGAATCAGGCTATGGGGAGAGCTGGAGATTGTTGGTCTGCCTACTCGGCCAGTCATTCGCTCTCTGTACATTTGTCCACTCAAGTGTGCCTTATTTATCATAAGCTGTGGGTCCAAAATCCAGACACCAATATCAGACTGCAGACAGTAGAGGTGTCTAATATTATTAGTGTTATATTACAAGTTTAAGTCATAGTTATCTTATCAATAAAGGACTTAGTACAGTCATTCCACAGTATGCAAAAGGAATGGGTTCCAGGACAGCCCTCACCTCTGGCAGTTACCAAAATCTACGGCATCTCAAGTAGCTTATGTAAAATGGCCTAGCTTTGCATATAACCTACGCCCTTCCTCCCATGTACTTCAGATAATCTCTAGATTACTCATAATACCCAGTACAATATAAATGCTGTGTATTATCCTGTACTGTTTTCTAATTTATGTTATTTCTATTGTGTTACTTTGTATTGTTCTTTTTTCTGAAATATTGTTAATCCATGGTTGCTTGAATCATCCGTGGATGTGGAACCCAAGGACATGGAGGACCAATTGTCTGCAGCAAACTCTGTTCTAAGAACTTCAGATATATTAACCTGTTTAATTCTTGTCATGATCCTATGAGTTAGGTATCGTTATCCCCTTTAACAGATAAGAGAACCAAGGCACAGAGAGGCTAAATGACTTTCCCAGGGACACAAGACTGGTAAATAGTAGAATTGGGATTCAAACTCTGGCAGTTTTGGGTCCGAATCCTGCTTTTTCCCTTTATGCTCGGCGGTTTCTTTGAGGACATGTATATCTGGAGGCAGCATTTGATTTGTCCTTTTCACAACGCATGCTGCAGAACTGCCGGGATTCTTCAGAGGGGTCTCAGGAAGTACAGGAAAGGAGGGGATGGGACACACGATGGACTGCCTTGGATCTCCACCTTGCAGCCTCTCTCCTTTTATTATCAGACTTTACATTGTAGTTGCAGGGTGGGGAGGTTCTGTTGCTTATAGAGTTCCACCCCTTCCATTTACAGACGAACCCCAGAGAATGGTAGTGACTTCCCCAAGCAACTCGGCTGGTTCGTTGTAAACTGAAGGCTAAGCTCATGACTTTCAGGCTGGCTTCTTCTCCTGTCCAGACCAATGATGTGTGTGTGAATTCTGAAATTCTAGTAAAGTTATAGGATACTTTTAAAGCCCTTCGTTCTGACGATCAATAATTTGGGAATATATATCTCTTTGGGACTTCGATTCAGCTGATCACACTTGTAGAGTGATCTCAGTGAATCTCAAATTGCTGCTGGGAAGCTATTTCTTTTTCTTTTCTTTTCTTTTTTTTTCTTTTGAGACGGAGTTTCGCTCTTGTTACCCAGGCTGGAGTGCAATGGCGCGATCTCGGCTCACCGCAACCTCCGACTCCTGAGTTCAGGCAATTCTCCTGCCTCAGCCTCCTGAGTAGCTGGGATTACAGGCACGTGCCACCATGCCCGGCTAATTTTTTGTATTTTTAATAGAGATGGGGTTTCAGCATGTTGATCAGGATGGTCTCGATTTCTTGACCTCGTGATCCACCCGCCTCGGCCTCCCAAAGCACTGGGATGGGAAGCTATTTCTTTTGCCATCAGGCTTGAGAGGTGTGGAAAAAGAACCTACCGCAGGCACTTGCCATCTCTGGCACAGAGCAAAGCATGGAAAGGTGTTAGAACACCTTCTTTTGGCATCGATGGGAGGAGACAAGAGTACCGAGGAGCTCTGAGCAGCAGTGAGCTGCCTTCAAGTACAGAAGAAACATTGTTTGAAGTTTATTTGGTTAGATCTTTGGTTAGACCAGCAATTCATCTAGAAACCTGGCATTTTATTTTGGGCAAGGCTATGAGGTCTGGGAGGATCTGTGGTCTTGTGTCCACCTGTCTCAGTTTGTTATGTGATAAGTCACCATACTGACCTCTAAGATCAGGCTTCAGGAAGCAAGAAAGTATTTTAGTTCTGATAAAGTTTTTCTTTATTAGAGGGCCCAAGTGCTGGCAGTGCTTTCCAGCAGGGATTGTTTGGAAGGGGCCAGGGAGTTGCCAGTCTGATTCAGGTCTATCACCTGTGCTGGTCTATTTGCGGCCCAATAGAAGGGCTTGTGCTAGGCAGAACAAGCCTGCTGCGACTTACTTTTTCCATTGCTCAGAATATAGGAGACCCCCTACGGCAGGGCCAGGCCGTGTTGAAGGCATTCACTCTCCTTAAGGAGGAACCTTGATGATCTGCCTCTCGGAGCAGATCTGTGCTCCGTCTCTGTAGACAAAGAGAGAGAAGAAGGGGGTGGAGATGCTGGAAAGAACAAGCTGAAGCCTCTGCCTGCCTGTGCTCCCTGCATTTCTTCCAGGACCCATCATCATCCACACTGACGAAGCACACTCGGAAGTCTTGTATCCCAACTACCAAAACTGCTGGAGCCTGAGGCAGAGAACCAGGTAACTGCCTCTGGGTTCTTGCTCACCAGCAGGGGACAGCCTTTTACCACCTTTGCTGGCAGAACTCTGTACTGAGGGCCTGCCCAGGCTAACCCTACTGGTGGATAATGGACGGGAAGGTTTAAATTACACTTAGGTGTGACATCAGCTGTCTTGGAAGGGAAGAAGTCTTGTTCACAGTAACAGACGTGTGGTGAAGGTCCGGAATGCTGGGAAGAGCTGCATGCTGGGCTAGAGAGACTATACCTACAGCCACAGGTGGGGCTTTGCCATGTACAAAGTCTTATCCTCCTGACAACCCCTCTCAGGTGGGGCAGGTGAGGAAAGCAGGTTAAATGAAGGAGGACTGAGACTGTCTTTGACCGGCAAACCAGGTGCACAAGCCCAGGAAGGCACAGACTGCCCTTTTCTCACCAACATGTTTCTGTGTAGGATAGATCAGTTTGGGCTGATGACATTTTCAGTTATCAGGTATCTCTAGGCTACACTAAGACTATATGGTATTTATTCCATAAAGAAAAGAGAATGTTGTTTTCAGACAGAAGGGCCTTGCCTGCATCCTTTTTGATATAATGCAAATGCTAGAGGGAGATCTGGAAAATTCGTCCTTGTATCCTCACCATGGTAGTTGCTAATGTATGTTTACAAGTCATTTGACCTTGTAGAGCCTTGGTTTATTCTTCCATAACACTGGGATAGTGCTGGCTAACCCCAGCGCGTTGTTACAGGGACTAAGTGATATCCTAAGTGTGAAGCACATTTTGTAAACTGTTAATCACTATAGAATATAAAGCATTACTCTTTTTTTGGTCAGAGGCCGGAGGCAGGCTGCCTCTTTACAGCCAGGAATCTCAGAGGATTTGAAAAAGGTGAAGGAAGGGATGGGCGTTGGCAGTAGTGATGGCGTGGACTTCCTCATCCTCTTGGACAATGTGGCTGCTGAGCAGGTGAGACCCGAGGTTGGGGATCCTGCGATAATATGTCCCTTGGTGGGCTGACTCCTGAGTTAGAACTGGGTGGAGAGAAGTGGGCAGAGGCCTGGTTTGGAGGCAACTGTAATAGCACCTGTAGATAGAATGGATGTGGGGACTGAGGGATAGGGAGCAGTGGAGGAAGACTCCTCACCCAGTTAGGAACACAGACGCTGAACTCTCTCGAGTAGAACTTCTTGAGGCGTGTTCCCCAGAACACCTGATATGCAGGAGTGTGTTTGGGCAGGTGGGGGTAATGGGTTGGGGAATGGGTAGGGTCTAGGAATTTTGGAATCCCTTTGTATCCTATCACTTCTTGAGAGTACTATATGTACATCAGCATATTTAAAAAGTATGACATGCCCTTAATAAAGAAAACTGGTTGATTTTTAATCTGTTTTCCTCAAGCTTATTTAGCCATGTAATCTTTTTTCTGTAATAAATACATAAAGAAGACTAACAATGGGAAATGTTTCTCTAGATACAAAAGTTGGCGGTGGCTCACGCCTATAATCCCAGCACTTTGGGAGGCTGAGGCGGGTGGATCACGAGGTCAAGAGATCGAGACCATCCTGGTCAATATGGTGAAACCCCGTCTCTACTAAAAATACAAAAAATTAGCTGGGCACGGTGGCACGTGCCTGTAATCCCAGCTACTCAGGAGGCTGAGGCAGGAGAATTGCCTGAATCCAGGAGGCGGAGGTTGCGGTGAGCTGAGACTGTGCCATTGCACTCCAGTCTGGGTAACAAGAGCGAAACTCCGTCTCAAAAAAAAAAAAAGTTGGATACCCAAAGATGTATAGGATCCTTCCTCTTTCTCTTGTGAAAATAAAATGACAGTGTACCCTGAAGGCAGAAATGCACCTTGCTCTTATGAGTAAAACAGGTTTAAGGTTAGAAGTAAAGAGTTCGTATCATGTATTTGTAGGGCATAGTTTTTAGAAGTCATTTTGAGGAAAATGAAGGTCAAGTAGGAATTTATGAATTTCTTGCTTTGTATTTTATTCATATTTTTTTTTAAGTTAAAGAAAACAGGCCAGGTGCGGTGGCTCACGCCTGTAATCCCAGCACTTTGGGAGACTGAGGCAGGCAGATCATGCTGGTCAGGAGTTCAAGACCAGCCTTGCCAATGTGGTGAAACCCGTCTCTACTAAAAACACAAAAATTAGCCAGGTGTGGTGGCGCGTACCTGTAGTCCCAGCTACTTGGGAGGCTGAGGCAGAAGCCTTCACTTGAACCTGGGAGGTGAAGGTTGTAGTGAGCCATGATTGCACCACTGCATTCCAGCCTGGGCAACAGAGTGAGACTGTGTCTCAAAAAAAATTACAAATGCTTCTCATTTTGGAGTGGATGGGGAGCCATCAGAAAGGGAAGACACCCCCTTTTTTCTTCCTGGCCATCAGATATCTAGTAATAGCTTTGGAAGAGCTTTAGAGACATAGCTTCTTGAGCTAGGAGAAGATAGGCTCCTGCAGGTACCATGGAAGTTGATCAGCTGCTAGAATCAGTATCTGAGAAGCGTTTTTTTCTGAAACTACCTGTGGCCCTTTCAGGCACACAGCCTCCCAAGCTGCCCCATGCTGAAGAGATTTGCACGGATAATTGAACAGAGAGCTGTGGACACATCCTTGTACATACTGCAGAAGGAAGACAGGTGAGGGGCCTCTCATGGCTGGCATGACCTCAGGCTTGGTCAGACATCCAAGTGTACGGGGCAGAGGAGTTCATCAGGCCCACTCCACTCTGTGCATAAGGAGGCTGAACCTCACTCTGTCCGCCTGCCAGTGGGCCCCGGTCCTCGCCCTTCTGCAGCTGGGACTAGTGCCCTAGTGCTTCTGTTTCCTGTTATGTGGAACCGGGAGCCACCCGCCTCCTGACTTTATCACTTGCCCTTTCCTTTCACTTTAAGGTTTAAAGGATTTGGGTGGGGGGAGCTGAAGAAAGAATATTTATTTCTCTCTTTATTCATCATGTTACAATTTACAAATGATTTTCACATTCTCACTGTGAGGCGAGTGAGATACCTTTCCCCCTGGCTTTGTAGATAAAGAAACTGAGGCTGGGAGATACTGCCTACCTGGTCTAGGCCCAGCTAGCAAGTGGCAGATCCAGAACTTGGTCCCAGATCCACTGACTGCCTGTTCTGTGTTTTTGCTGTATTACTAGCACTTAGTAGGGTTCTATTTCTAGAAGGTCTGTTTCCTGACTACCAGAATGGAAAGTTTTTTTTTTCCTGATTGATTGAATGCGTTCAGCTTGCACTAAAGATACGTGACTTGATAGAGGAGGGGAGGTAGGAAGTAGTCCTGGGAAAGTCGGGGGAAGGCACCTAACAGTTCAAGAATCTGCATGGCTGGTTGCCTAAGGATAAGAGCCCCTGACTGCATTCTTTCCACTCAGTCAGTATGTCCACTTGCGTGCAGGCCTAGGGCATCCAGAAGGTTCCTGCCAAGCTACATAGCTTCCTGCCACTCCCTGGCACTTGCCAGCTTCCCTTTTCTGTTTGTGAAGGGGCTCCACCATACCTAAAGTATTACTTGCTGCTCTCTCCTTTATCAACAACAAGAAAAACAACAACAACACACACACACACACACACAAACACACTCTCTCTCTCTCTCTCTCAGTAAATATTTTAAGCTGTGTAGATCATCCAGTTTCTGTTACAACAACTCATCTCTGCCCTTGTAACATGAGGCAACCAAAGACAGTATGCAAACCAATAGACACGGCCGTGTGCCAATAAAATTTATTTACCAGAGTTGGTCAGAGTTGGCCCGTGGTGTAGTTTGCTTTATTCTGGTGTAAATCATTTTAAACAGGACCTTGTCTATTGTCTTTTTCATTCCAATTAGCCCTGGTTTTGTAAAACTAACATAACTTCAGGGACAAATAGTTACAACCTCATGATGCCATCCAGCTTGGCTTTGCCTGTGTACGTTCTTCTGAAAAGCGTATGTTGCGTAGTGTGGGTCTCCTGCTCTTCATCCACTGCTGAAACACCCTGACTTATAAAGACGGCCGTTTACCCAGTCACCACGAATAGGGATTTGTCTAAGCCAATCATGGCAACCTTGTTTTCATTGGTCAGTGCCTGGCTTCTGGGAATTCTGGGAGGGGTCTTTTTTTCTCTTTGATAAAAAAGTAAGAAGCACAAAAAGAGAAGACAGGCCCCTGAAGGCTCCGTGGAAGCTGATCAGCTGCTCTGATGAGTAGATAGATGAGAAACATTTCTTTCTTCTATAGTAAGTGGACTTTGCTCACTATGTGAGTGAATGTGCTTTCACCTGCGGTAGTCACCTGTGGTCGTGATGTGACAGGCCTGAGAATGGAAGTGGTGGAGCCACAGAGCCAACCCAGGGAGCATGACCGCCGAGCGTCTTCTGCTAAATAAATCAGATGTAAATGAGAAATGTCCCTATGGTCTAAACTCCAAAAGGAAGAAGGCTGGCACAGAGGAAACAACATTTAGAATGTTCTTGTTCCTTCTGATTATTTTTCTAAGGGCCTTCTGGAATTCCTGGAAATTATTATCCCCTCTCCTTCCCAGCTTTGTCGGCTTTCTTCTTTCATTCCTCAAGGCCTAGTTGGTTTATCCGGGTCTCCCCTCCCCGCTCCCGAGCCCCTCCCATCTCAGTTGTTCACAACAGGTCTTTGTGCTGGTGCTTGTGTTGTTGAAAGCCTTTGCCCACAGAGGACCCCCGACTGGACGCACTGCCGTTTCTCTCCTTCTGGCCCCTTGCTAGCCCTTATGCATTACTTGCCTTTTTCTCAGCTCCGTCTGATAGAACTTAGAGGTCCTGGGGGCAGAATCAGCTGAGTGCCCTTAAACGTTGTTCACTTTTCACAGGGAAAGTCTTCAGATGGCAGTAGGCCCATTCCTCCACATCCTGGAGAGCAACCTGCTGAGAGCCGTGGACCCTACCACTGCGCCGGACAAGATCAGGTACCTGGCACAGCAGCCCTGCTTTGTGTACCTGCGGGCCGTGGGGACTTTGGCTGCAGACAGGGAGCCCAGATCTTAGTGAGGCAAGAACCAGGTTGCCAGTGACTGAAGGGAGATGTTTAACCGGCCCCAGTCTCAAAGAGGTTCACAACCTTTTGACCTTTTTTCCTGCTGTACCCCTCCTATCATGTTTTCAAAATTTTATTTTAGTGAAAAGAACCTCAAATTTATTCTTGCTTTCTCTCTTGTTTTTAATTAATTGAACATATATCAAACAGTAGGCAATTATGATGTCACACTGGTTTGTTATTAGTCCAAAACAAAGATAATTGCTTAATGGATTGTGTAGTTTGAACCATTTTCATTGAATGTAAAGAAGGTATGATATCCATAAGGCATTTAAAAATGTTGGAAGTGTGCTTTGGGAGGCCGAGGTGGGTGGATCATGAGGTCAGGAGATTGGGACCATCCTGGCCAACATGGTGAAACCCTGTCTCTACTAAAATATGAAAAATTAGCTGGGCGTGGTGGCGTGCACCTATAGTCCCAGCTGTTTGGAAGGCTGATGCATGGGAATTGCTTGAACCCGGGAGGCAGAGGTTGCAGTGGGCTGAGATTGCACCCCTGCACTCCAGCCTGGCGACAGAGCGAGACTCCGTCTCTAATAATAATAATAATGTTGAAACTGGCTCACGAGCCTCCATTGCCACTCTGTAGCCTTGAATCCGAGGTTGGGACTATGGCTGTGGAGTATTATGTGTCCTAGGCACAGCCTCACCGTTGTCCAAGAACTTGTCTGATTCTCAGGCTCCAGACTGATCTACTGAATCAGGAGCTGCAATTTAACAAGATCCTCAGGTGATTGATATTCAGCTGAGTTTTGGAGAAACGCTGTTGTGGGATTACGCGTCGCTAGAAGCTCATGATGGTGTAAGAGGTGTAGGGACAGTGAGTTGAAACGGGAACTCTGGGCTGAGATTTACCGCAGCAGATCTTCAGAGCGCCGTATCCTGTCCTCCGCGGCACCTGCACTGACAGCACATTTTTGCTGGCTTTGCTGCCTTGCCACCCTCCACCTTGGATCTTTAGAGTACACAGGATCCAAGGCCAGTCTTCTACGCTGGGGGTCCGTGGATAAAATCCTTGATCTTTCCTAAGAGATGGCTACTGGTGTCAGGCAGATGTAGATTAAATGGCACTCTGATTACTGATGAAAGCCATTTGGAGGATTTGTTGTGGGCCAAATGGGCTTATGAATATTCTTTTGAAATAAACTTAATTTCCCAAAACTTCAGGCGTCCCCAAGAAGGAGCAGACCTTGCCCTACTAAAGTCGTCCATGGCTGAGAGTAGGAAGAGCACTCCCGCAGGCTGCAGGACCCACAGAGAGAAGGGAGGTAGGGCGTAAGCCACACACGCGCAGTCTCTTTGAAACTCACCAGGGAGGAGTGGGTGGGTGGCAAGGAGGAGGCCTGGAGAGTTTCTCTGGTGGGGACCCTCCTCATGAAGACATGGGGAGCGAGACCAAGGGTTCTTCCCACGATCTACGACAAAGGAGTTTGCTGAGTCAGGCTCAGCTGATTTCTAGAGGTCACCTGGTTTCTGAGGCAAGCGTGTCTTACTTAAAAAGGAGGCGGGCCGCATCCTGACCTTCAGAGTCCTGAGATAGGGCATTGTGGAGAGCTGTTTCCTCTTGCAGAAAGCTGTACCTCTATGCGGTTCATGATGTGACCCTCATACCGCTCTTAATGACCCTGGGGATTTTTGACCACAAATGGCCATCGTTTGCTGTTGACTTGACTATGGAACTCTACCAGCACCTGGAGTCTAAGGAGTGGTTTGTGCAGCTCTATTACCATGGGAAGGTAAGTCCTCTGAGGTGGGCTTGGCTGGGGGTGAGGCCCCTCCCTCAGAACCCCCCCACCTGAGTTAGCACCAAGTCTCTGTCCTCAGGCCCAGTGGAGTCCTCCTTGGCACAGTCAGCTCTCTGAATCCCATAGGGCGACTCCTGGCTGTGCCCCAGGGGTCAGTCAGAACGGGGCAGGATGGGGCTTGGGCCTGATCCCAGTTTTGTTACAGACTCCTTCGAGGAGCAGCGTCCCCCTCCTCTTCTCCTGAGCGTCCCTGTCAGGATGTAGCCTCCTGGCTGTGAGGCCTGTTTTGGAGATTGTTGATGGTGTCCTCGGGAAGTGATGTGTGCTGTGGGCACCTGTGGTGTTGGCCCCTTCATCAGGGCTGGCGTCCAGGGCAGAGGCCAGCACGTGCCCCAGGGATGAGCCTATTGGTTCTCCCAGCTCAGGGATATAACTTGACTGTCTCTTCCCAGTCAATTCCACAAACACTTTTTGAGTGACTTTTATAAGTAGGGCATAGTGCTTTTATTCTGGAAGCTGACCAGGTAGTGGGGCCTTCCTGTCTGTACAATATATGTGCACACTTATACCACGTGGGTGAGAGCCTCTCAGAACTTTGGGCTCAGCTGGAAGTAGAAGGACAGGCTCCTCAGTGGAGCTGCTGAGTTACGTCTCTTCCGCAGGAGCAGGTGCCAAGAGGTTGCCCTGATGGGCTCTGCCCGCTGGACATGTTCTTGAACACCATGTCGGTTTATACCCTAAGCCCAGAAAAGTACCACGCACTCTGCTCTCAAGCTCAGGTGATGGAAGTTGGAAATGGAGAGTAGCTGATTTATACAAGCAGGATGTGCTGATTTTAAAATAAAGCGCCTTTATGCAACGCCTCCTGCTTTGTGTGTTTGGGAAGAGGAGGGAGCAAGGGTGATGCACTTTAATATAAGGTAAGTATGTTTCCCTTCTGTGGGTATATTAAGGTTTCTTCCTGAAAGCAAAGGGGGTATAATATTGAGACCAAAAGGTATTTCTCTATTTTGTGAGTTGGTTTCTAAGGTTAGAAGCCAACCTGTGTGTGACACGGGCTGGGGACATCATGACCCTGTAGAACTGCGTTGGTTTTGGACTTTAGTTCTTTTCTCCTAAGTCAATTTCACAGGTATTGCGCTCCCTACTAAGTCGTGGTCATTATAAAGGTGAAAACATTCTGCCCTCAAGTTGCTGCAGTCCAGTGAGAGAGGCAGCTAAGTAAATCAGTGACACGGTGCAGTATGTTTTAGGCTGTAATAGGTATTCGAGGGGCTCTTTGGATACGAGAGGAAATCTCTGGCTCGCAGGGCAGGGGATGTGGGGAACAGTGAAGGAAGGCGTCTGAGAAAATCCCGCCCTGATCTGAGTAGAGGGAGGTGGGTAGGAGTTCACCAGGAAAGCAAGGAGGAAAGCATGATGCGTGTAGGGAAAGGACAGGCTTCAAGGCCAGGGAATGTGGCTGGCTGGTGAGAGGGAACCCTGGGTGGGGAGGCCCAGCAGGAGAAGCAGGAGGGACACTGGGCCCCAGTGGTTGTAGTTCCCATCTCAAACTGAGGGCCAGTTATAATGCCCTCAAGGTCTCATGGTACTGTGGGCCCTGGGACTCTGCAGTGGTGGGACTGGAACCACCCAACATAACAGCTCGTCCCTAACTGTGCCCCTAAGAGCACCTGACGACCCTCCTCCCCTTGTCAGTGTCCCATTCTTCCCCAGGATCTATTTCAACCCGTCTCTGACTTTAAACCACCAGTCCCTTTACCTCTCAGAGAAAACAGAAACACAAAAGCCTCTCCACTTCCTCCTACCTTAACATTGACAACTGCAGATCAGGGAGCCGCATATCTCAGGCTCAGCTTTCTCTTCTGAGCTTCAGACACTCTTGTCCACTTGGATTTCACTGGCACAAGACGTTCCATGGCAGAATCAAACCCCTTTCCTCCTGGACCTGCTGCTCCCACGCACTCCACTATCCACTCAGTTGCCACATCAGGAATCTGCCTTTGTTTTCTTTGTCTTACATTTTCCTATGTCTAATCAGTTACATTTTATCAATAATGCCTGTTTATTTATTTATTTATTTATTTGAGGCAGAGTTTCGCTCTTGTTACCCAGGCTGGAGTGCAATGGCACGATCTCGGCTCACCGCAACCTCTGCCTCCTGGGTTCAGGCAATTCTCCTGCCTCAGCCTCCTGAGTAGCTGGGATTACAGGCACACGCCACCATGCCCAGCTAATTTTTTGTATTTTGAGTAGAGACGGGGTTTCACCATGTTGACCAGGATGGTCTCGAACTCTTGACCTCGTGATCCACCCGCCTCGGCCTCCCAAAGTGCTGGGATTACAGGCTTGAGCCACCGCGCCCGGCCTGTTTATTTCTTTAATCTGTCCACATATCTTCATCCTCAATCTTCAGTATTCCTTCTCATCCTCAGTCTGCTGGTTGCTGTATTTCTTATTTTACTATGAAACTAAAAGAGATCAGAAGGAAACTTCCATATCCCCCCACCCCCACCCCCTAAATCTGCTCAGTCGCACTGGTGCTTTCATGGCCTGCCTTCCTTCCTCTTACTAAGAATGAACCAGTCCTCCGCCATCCAAGCCCAGCCCCTGGCTTTGCATGGATTCCTACTATTGTCTGTTTTCCGGATGTCGATTTTTTCTCCTGACCGGTTACTCCATTAGCATGCAAATATGCTGCAAAGTCTCCTGTCTTCAATTTTTTTCTCTGCATCTTTGAACGGCTGTGCTCTTTTCCTTCTCCTCTTTATAGCAGAACTCCTCAAAAGAGTTGCCTCCTCTGATTCTTCCCTTCGAGTTCTCTCATGAACCAACTGCCATTAGCTATTCACCCCCACCGCTGCATGGAAACTGCTCTTGTCAAAATCATCAATGGCCTCTGCATGGTAAATCCAATAGCCAGGTTTTATTCTTCTTTCTAAGCGTCTCATCAGTATTCCTGGACTATTTCCTTCTTTTGGCTTCTAGGACAAATACTCTCTTGGTTTTCCTCCAGTTTCTCAACTTTGTTTCTGTTGAATCTACTTTTTTCTAATCTGTAAGTGTCGGGGGGTCCCAGGGCTAACTCCTTGGACCTTTTTCCCACCTTTTCCCCTACACTCACCTACTAGGCGATCTCAAGAATTTCCAGTTTTAGGCTGGGCGTGGTGGCTCACACCTGTAATCCCAACACTTTGGGAGGCTGAGGCAGGCAGATCACCTGAGGCCAGGAGTTCGAGACCAGCCTGGCCAACATGGCAAAACCCTGTCTCTACTAAAAATACAAAAATTAGCCGAGCATGTTGGTAGGTGCCTGCAATCCCAGCTACCTGGGAGGCTGAGGCAGGAGAATTGCTTGAACTTGAGAGGCAGACTGAGGTTGCAATCACACCATCGCACTTCAGCAATGGTGTGCAATTTCTGTGCCTGTTCAAATCTACACCTTCCACTGGCTTTCCTGTCTGGGTAAATGGCACCATCATTCACCCTGTCGCTTTGGCCAAGAACGTTGGAATTGCCCTTGACTCCTCTCTTTTTCTCATATTCTACCTCTATACATGGGTAACTCCTGTTACATGTATAGCTCTCTTCACATTATATCCAAAATTGACCACGTCCCAAGACTTCCATTGCTACTGTCTTCTTTCACCTGGATTATTGTAAAGGCCTTGTAGCTAGTCTTCCTGTTTCTGCCCTTCCCGTCTGCCCATCTATTCTCAACGTAGTGTTGCTAGTAGAACAAAGTCAGATCATGCCACTCTTCTGCTCAAAATTCCCCATTGGTTTCCCGTCTCAAACTAAAGGTCAGTCGTAATGCCCTGAAGGCCCTGTGACATCTCACTGCATCCCAGCCATACTAGCCAGCTTACCTTCTTCTTCTTTGCTTGTAATAGAAACTTTTTATTTTCTTTGTAGTTGACAGGTAATAATTGTATATATTTATGGAATACAGCGTGATGTTTTGACAGGTGTATGCATGAGAGAATGATCAAATCAAGGTAATTCACTTACCTATCATTTCATCTCCTTACCACTTTCTCGTGGTGAGAATGTTGAAGATTACTCTAGTAGTTTTCAGGTATACAGTCGCTGTGGTTTGAATGCATCTGTCTTCTCCAGATTTTATGTTGACACTTTGTGGGAGGTGGAGCCTAACGGAGATATGTAACAGATTAATGCCGTTGTAAAAAGGGCTTGCTGGAATGGGTTCCTTCTCTTTGCTTTTCTGCCGTATGATGACAAAGTGATTCTCCTCTCTGGAGGATGCAGCCATAGGCACCGTCTTGGAAGCAGAGAGACCAGGCCCTAACCTGCTGGTGCCTTGATCTTGGACTTCTCAGCTTCCAGAACTGTGAGAGAAGAAATTGTTCATTGTAAATTACCCCATCCGTGGTATTCTGTTATCGCAACACAAAATGGACTAAGACAACAGTATACTGTTGTGAACTGTGGTCACCATGCTGTGCACTGGATCACAAACACTTCTCGGCCGGGCACGGTGGCTCAAGCCTGTAATCCCAACACTTTGGGAGGCCGAGGCAGGTGGATCACGAGGTCAAGAGATCGAGACCATCCGGGTCAACATGGTGAAACCCTGTCTCTACTAAAAATACAAAAAATTAGCTGGGCATGGTGGCGCACGCCTGTAATCCCAGCTACTCAGGAGGCTGAGGCAGGAGAATTGCCTGAACCCAGGAGACGGAGGTTGCGGTGAGCCGAGATCGCGCCATTGCACTCCAGCCTGGGTGACAAGAGTGAAACTCCATCTCAAAAAAAAAAAAAACACACAAAAAAAAACCTTATTTCTCCTGTCTAACTGAAACTGCGTACCTTTTGACGAGCATCTCCCTTTTCCCGTCATCCCATCCCCTCCTTACTGTCCGTGAAGACGGAGTATGCCAAGTAGCCCTTAGCCACGTCTGCACCTCACGGTGAGCGCAGTTGACGCTCTGCCTGGGATGCTCTCCCAGGCCTTTGTGTGGCTAGCTCTC